TTTCATTTTCAGAGAGCAAACAATTTTATCACAGTTTGTTCAATATACTTTGCAATGAATTCTAAAAATTGACACACAAATAACACAAGATATTTCATTTAGGTACAAGGTGGGTTTTCAACTATATTTTGTAAGGTAAAACTAACAATTGCAGGTAAGAAGATGTTTTAGAATATCCACAAATATTGTAGAAAGATTTGTAAATGTAACAAAACATCCACACAGCATCTGCAGTTATATGTGTAAAAGTTACATAGTATTCAACAACTTTTGTGCAATCTTCAATCGTAACAACTGCAGATGTGTTATATATAAAACCTCATCACAACTGTTCTAGTTGAATGTTACAACTGTTCTAGTTGAATGTTACAACTGTTCTAGTTGAATGTTACAACTGTTCTAGTTGAATGTTACAACTGTTCTAGTTGAATGTTACAACTGTTCTAGTTGAATGTTACAACTGTTCTAGTTGAATGTTACAACTGTTCTAGTTGAATGTTACAACTGTTCTAGTTGAATGTTACAACTGTTCTAGTTGAATGTTACAACTGATCTAGTTGAATGTTACAACTGTAGTTATTCAAAAATTAAACAATATCCATACATCTTGTGTAGTCAGACGAGCAAGTTACTATAATCCCATTAAACTAGCAGAGGCTTAAGCTTAACTTAAAATGTGTAAATTTGAAGGACTATTCACACATCTTGTATGGTAAGATATACAAATGTTATGTAGTATCCAAACATCCTGTCTACTTCAAGTACATAAATATACAAAGTCTCAAATAAAAACAAAACAAAAAATCCTGTCTATTGAGATGTGCAAATGTTACAAAGTATCCATAAATCCTGTGTTTTGGGATGTGTACAAAGTATTATTAATAAACCATGGATACTGAAGCGCGTAAATGTTACAAAGTATCCATAAATCCTGTGTTTTGGGATGTGTACAAAGTATTATTAATAAACCATGGATACTGAAGCGCCTAAATGTTACAAAGTATCCATAAATCCTGTGTTTTGGGATGTGTACAAAGTATTATTAATAAACCATGGATACTGAAACGCGTAAATGTTACAAAGTATCCATAATTTGTGTACTCAGATGTGCAAATGTTACAAAGTATCCATAAAACCTGTGTTTTGGGATGTGTACAAAGTATTATTAATAAACCATGGATACTGAAGCGCGTAAATGTTACAAAGTATCCATAATTTGTGTACTCAGATGTGTAAATGTTACAAAGTATCCATAAATCCTATGCACTAAGATAGGTAAATATTACTGTATGTCTATAAACCTAGCGCAGTCTAAAACTGTAACAAAGGTTGATCAGTAAATGTTCTGCACTTACCATAAATGAGACACAGTAGCATGGTGGCAAGATGCTCACCACTTGACCTGAAAGTTTAGAGTTTAAATCCGCACAGAGACTGATTTATTTGAAAACAAACTTTGGCTCCTTCTCGTGTGGGTTCCAGGGGCTTGTTGTGGGAGAAAACAAGAACAGACCCACTGCCTGACCCCAAAAAAACCTGTCAAAGAGTAGACTAATTAGAGACTTTCTTCAAAGTCGGAGTGCATCTGCCTGAGGCAAGACACCAACAGCCTGTATACAAGTAAGTCAGATCTGTAAAACAGATGTGCATAAAGCAGAAACAGGTTCTGGAAAAGGACGAGGGTCTGAAGTGGATGAACAACCAGAGCTTTCCACTGCAGTTTACAGCCAGTGAACGGGAAGAAGATGAAGACCGTGGCTCGCAGGTTGACCCAGATTAAAATTGATACCAGGTTATGTCCAGGAAAGTACCGGTAGCCAGCGTGACCACATCACCCTTTTAGCGCTGATTAGCCTTTATCTCTCTATATGCCTGATGTTTCAAAGTGTCCCTTTTCCTCTTCTTTTTCTGCTCTTTATCCCCCAATGTAGAACAGGCCCGCAACCAATTGTTCTATCAATTACTTTTGCATGCAGCTCACCAAATGTCCTCCCCATATTTTTTAACTTAAATATCTAATTCCCTTCTCCATTTGTTTTTTTGTGTTGGTCTGCCTTTATTTGTATGCTTCTGTGAGTTCAAGTGTAAAGACATTATAGTTATATAGTTCCCAGGCTTTCTCAACGTGTATTTACATTAAATGTTAATTCAAAACTAAATTCTGTAATTTGTGCATTGCTTTGATATCTATCTCAACGTGTCCGATGACTTCTTAAGTAGTGCCAATTTGTACCAACCCTTGCCATTAGGTTTTCAGAATGAACTTCAAGTTCATGGACTTTTCAACAGCTGTTAACAATGTTTATTATAAAGTTTTAACTCAGAAACAATGTTATGCTGCATTGATTAAGTGAAAATGACAAACAAGAAAGTGATTAGTGAGGACCATCATCATAACACTATAAATATAAGTGCTCCGATCTCCTCCTCAATAGCTCTTGAAAAATAACATAACTGATCATGCTGTTCTGTGCTCATTAATCAGACACCTTGTACGTTTGGTAAAATGTTTATGTTTGGGTACAAGAAAGACTAGTAACATCCAACTGGCTGGTATACTTTATTCTTTAATACAGTGTAAATGACTGTCCTCTCTTTCTCTACACTTCTCTCTCTCTCTCACAGAGTGACTCTATCAAAAAATGTCTCTCTCATACACACTTATCTCACACATACTGTCTCTATCACTCTTCCTTTCTCCCACACACACACACTCTCTCTCTCTCCCACAAACTCTCTCTCTCCCACTCGTCTCCAGAGTTTACAGCCAATGAACAAGAGAAGAAGAAGAAGAAGAAGAAGAAGAAGAAGAAGAAGAAGAAGAAGAAGAAGAAGAAGAAGAAGAAGAAGAAGAAGAAGAAGAAGAAGAAGAAGAAGAAGAAGAAGAAGAAGAAGAAGAAGAAGAAGATAACCACACTTGGTACGTACACTGTTCTGTATCAAACTGTAGACATACATCACCGTATTACTGTCATATTAAGTGTCATATGTCATGATCACATACCTTAAAAATTAAACCATATGTGTGTGTGTACTACCTGTCTTATTATCATGCTACTATTAACATTGAGACTGATAAATGACCAAGAAAATCCTTAAGAAAAAAGCCAAGTTTCTGGACAGGATTCCATCCATGATATCAAAAGAACAGCACAAGATAAGATGGGGGGGGGGGGGGCTAGACTGGGAGCCCTATGTGACGCATAATGGCACAACATGATAATGATGAGAGACTCACTTTAAAAAAAAAACGATAGTGGCAATCTAACCATCTGCATAGAAAAAAGTGAATTTAAACTCATGCAAACAGAAAACTGATTGTAACCTTATGTACATGGAAAAAGCTGATTACTTTCATAGCAAGTACACTGGAAACAACTGGTCCGTTCATACATACATATTCTCATGTACCTGTCTTTCAAAATGAAATAAATAAAACAAAAATTAACAGCAAAAGTATCTTGTATTGGGTGTGATCCCAATAAAGGGTACTATGAATGAAGAAATTAGACCCCTTTTGTTTTTAACTCTCAGAAACTGAAATATTGATAAGATGGGTTTACAAGCCAGGTGAGTTACTGGATTTGTTTTGACTAAATATGACAACAAATACAGTCAGATAATCTGAAACGGCAGCTTTCTCTTGTTGACACCTTTCCTTCTATCCAGACTTCTTTTTCTTCTTTGTTCACTGGCTGTAAGCTCTGGCAGAAAGCCCTGGTTGTTGGTTCATCAGGACTTTGTGCCAGGGTCTGAGTTTTGCATCTACATCCATGTACTAGCTTATTTGTGTTTAGTTCGTTGTTCCTTACCGCTTAGGCAGAAACACTCAAACTTCGAAAGAAGCTCCCAGTTAGTCGACTCCTAGGACATGCTTATTGAGGAGACAATGGGCCTACTCTTGTCTACCCCACAATGGGGTCCAGTAACCCACAAGGGGACTTTCCAGATGAGAGTGTATTACTGAGAGCCCGGCATGGGACTCACAGCCCATGGCAATGGCCAGTGTAACTAGCAAGACCTGCGCATGTTAGATAAGTCTTCCACAGCGAGAGCAGGGATTTCAGGAACGTGCGTCTATCAAATGTATTTAATGTGCTTCTTCTCAGATGGTGAGCTCTCCAAATTTCTGCAATCATCTTTCTCCTTTCTTCCCCTCTCCACTCAATCCATGGCATTTTGTTTCCACAAATCTACCTCAAAATCTGTGTCAAATAACACAAAAATTGCATCCTATATTGGGGTGAAGTTTACAAACGAATATAAGGCTATAATAACGCTTTTAATTTTATCACCAACTTACCTTCACAAACAATCTACCTCACTGAGTACATTTATATAAAAAAAAAAAACAACAACCTAGCAGCTCAGAGAAATTAGACATCTGAGAAAGGTGGTCCAAGTGACAGAAAGGGAAAAAGTTAGCGATTAGACAATATGTCATGACTTTTAAACCCATGCCGTACAGACTCGAGTGGATCAGTCACAGTTACGATGGTTTGGACATGTATCCAGAATGGAAGAGGCATGGCAGACCAAGAACCAGGGAACCAGACCACCAGGACGACCCAGGGTTTGCTGTGAAGACAATATCCGACAGTTCCTGACTGACAGAGGACTCGAATGGAACAATGCCAAAAAGAAAATGGCTGACAGAGAAATCTGGCGATCTCTTTGGCAAACCTCTACATCCTAAAGTAGAAGAGGAGCGAATAAATAAAGTTAAAAAAAAGAAAAAAAAAACTCTGGTCATTACTGTGAGTATTTATCACTGGCTGAAGGGTCTCGACCCAGAGAATTTAGGACCGCATGGCTAGTGCTGTCACCACAAACTGTTCTGTGTATATTAAACTTTATTAAAGTTGGTGGAGTTGCAGTCCTTGATTGTATTGGTTGAGCTGAACTTATCTCCCTTGAGTGGGTAAAAGCTGCAAAGCAAGCTTGAGTTGTAAGAATGAAACTGTTGAGAATAAAGTGATTTTTGTTTGTTATGGAACACACTATTTGGGTCTAGTCCTGTGTTTACGCTCTGAAGCTAGAAGCTCATCCTGCAGTAACTGCAGCGTCTGAAGCAGTGATTCTTTTTCCTTGGATACTGTCAGCAGGTCATCTTCCAATCGGGCAAGTCTTTGTTGTAGCTGTAGATTTTCACACTCCAGTTCATCCCTGGCCGGGTCAACGTCATCTCGTGGGAACCTGGACTGACCCATAGCGAGGTCATGATGGGAGCTGGAAGAAGGGCTGCTGGAAAGGGAGTCGGCTGTGAAACTCTGACGTTTCTGGGTCATGGCTCCGCGGGTTGTCATTGCCCCGGGACCTCCCATACCTGGTCGATGACCCACTAATCTATCTTGCATCTCTCTCCACTGTAGAATTTGATGCTCGTACAGACGATTAGCTCTCCTGACCTCTTCTAGCTGTCGACGCAACAGAACAGCCTCATTCTGACTGGCCATCAGTAATGCCATGGTGCCATCAGGACTCATGATCGGGGACGTTACTGCATTAGCATACTCTGACTTTGGAGGTGCTGGAGTAGGGCTGGCAGTGTGGACAAATGGTATGCTGCCAGGATTACCTGTCAAATCACATAATTAAAAAATGCATAAATTGATAGCATCATGTTAACTGGCAATACACTTTAATAAACATATATAACATCATCTTATATAAAATTAATAGTTTTTACGCCTCTATTGGGCATATAGGAATAGATCTATATTATCATTGGTGGGTGAAGTGGTTAACATCAAGCCGGCTGCTTTTACTTCCCATGACTTTTACCTGGTACCCATTCAAGGCTAGGTCGACCTAGGAGCCAAGGTTAAAAAAAACACAACAACACAGATTTGAACCCGGAACCTTCAAATCCACAGGCTAGACCAACAGAAGATTTTTAGCCAATATCAATTCAAAATGACAAGTATGTATTAGCACACACTTTATTATGTAACATTTGCAGCAAAGAATAGGGGTGCAGAGAAGGAATTAGTTATTAAACCATAAAAGGAATAAGATAAAACAGGTGACAGGAGACAGACAGAAATGAAAGGGAGTGGGGGGGGGGAAGAGATAAGAGATAGATTAAGAAAGAGAGACAGAGAGAGAGGGAGGGAGGGGGAGGGAGGGGGAGAGAGAGAGGGGATAGGTTTGAAATGGTGTCAGTGGAGGATAAGGACACAGAAAGATAGACATCCAAATACAGAGAGAGGCAAAAAGAGAAAGAAACTGTATGTGTGTGGAGAGAGAGAAGGGTCTGGGGAAGGAGACAGGAGACATGATGCCCGCATCTTGACTGAAACTTCTTATTCTTCTTCTTCTGCATTCATTGAAAGATATAACTGCGTTGTGCTCATTTACAGCATGGATGCGATATTTGCTCCTTTCGACCGACACATCTGACTTCCGCAGGCATTTGTTGATCGGATTAGCCTTCCCCGTTGAATGTAACAATAACTGTTGTTTTGCAAATGTGTGATCACATACAGTGTTCTAAAAGCTTGACAAAACAAATTTGGCAGTTATTTTCTTCTGACTGAGCTTTAGTCTCAAAAAAAAAAAAACATCACAAGTGGTTGTCTCACTTGGTTAGTCCCATCTCCGGATACGCACAGTCGAGAAATCCTGCATATACTATTTCTCTTCTTCTTCATGTTCACTGGCTGTAACGTCCAGCGGAATGTTCTGGTTGTTCATCCACTTCTGGACTTTGGTTTTGTTCCAGAAAATGAGTATCAACTACTGACATGACAGGGAGCATCAACTACTGACATGACAGGGAGCATCAACTACTGACATGACAGGGAGCATCAACTACTGACATGACAGGGAGCATCAACTACTGACATGACAGGGAGCATCAACTACTGACATGACAGGGAGCATCAACTACTGACATGACAGGGAGTATCAACTAATGTCATGACAGGGAGCATGAACTACTGACATGACAGGGAGTATCAACTACTGACATGACAGGGAGTATCAACTACTACTGACATGACAACTACTGACATGACAGGGAGAACTACTGACATGACAGGGAGTATCAACTACTGACATGACAGGGAGTATCAACTACTGACATGACAGGGAGTATCAACTACTGACATGACAGGGAGCATCAACTACTGACATGACAGGGAGCATCAACTACTGACATGACAGGGAGTATCAACTACTGACATGACAGGGAGTATCAACTACTGACATGACAGGGAGTATCAACTACTGACATGACAGGGAGCATCAACTACTGACATGACAGGGAGCATCAACTACTGACATCAACTACTGACATGACAGGGAGTATCAACTACTGACATGACAGGGAGTATCAACTACTGACATGACAGGGAGTATCAACTACTGACATGACAGGGGACTACACTACTGACATGACAGGGAGTATCAACTACTGACATGACAGGGAGCATCAACTACTGGCCATGAGACTATGACATGGGAGCATCAACTACTGACATGACAGGGAGCATCAACTACTGACATGACAGGGAGCATCAACTACTGACATGACAGGGAGCATCAACTACTGACATGACAGGGAGCATCAACTACTGACATGACAGGGAGCATCAACTACTGACATGACAGGGAGCATTAACTACTGACATGACAGGGAGCATCAACTACTGACATGACAGGGAGCATCAACTACTGACATGACAGGGAGCATCAACTACTGACATGACAGGGAGCATCAACTACTGACATGACAGGGAGCATCAACTACTGACATGACAGGGAGCATCAACTATTGACATGACAGGGAGCATCAACTACTGACATGACAGGGAGCATCAACTACTGACATGACAGGGAGCACATCATGCAAACTACTGACAGGGACACTGACATGACAGGGAGCATCAACTACTGACATGACAGGGAGCATCAACTACTGACATGACAGGGAGTATCAACTACTGACATGACAGGGAGCATTCAACTACTGACATGACAGGGACATGAACACTGGGAGGATCAACTACTGACATGACAGGGAGCATCAACTACTGACATGACAGGGAGCATCAACTACTGTCATGACAGGGAGTATCAACTACTGACATGACAGGGAGCATCAACTACTGACATGACAGGGAGCATCAACTACTGACATGACAGGGAGCATCAACTACTGACATGACAGGGAGTATCAACTATTGACATGACAGGGAGCATGAACTACTGACATGACAGGGAGCATCAACTACTGACATGACAGGGAGTATCAACTACTGACATGACAGGGAGCATCAACTACTGACATGACAGGGAGCATGAACTACTGACATGACAGGGAGTATTAACTATTGACATCAGGACATCAACTTGACATGACAGGAGACTACTGACATGACAGGGAGTATCAACTATTGACATGACAGGGAGTATCAACTATTGACATGACAGGGAGTATCAACTATTGACATGACAGGGAGTATCAACTACTGATATGACAGGGAGTATCAACTACTTACTGACATGACAGAACTACTATTCACGCTAACTGACATCAACTACTGACATGACAGGGAGTATCAACTACTGACATGACAGGGAGTACATCAACTACTGACATGACAGGGAGTATCAACTATTGACATGACAGGGAGCATCCACTACTGACATGACAGGCAGCATCAACTACTGACATGACAGGCACTTACTAGAAATGTAGAAGATGCCATCCTTGCCCCTCTCCACAGAAAGATGCTGAATGTGGATGTTCATGGGAACACCTCCCGGCGAGGTCAGATTGGAAGAAGGTCTGTCCTCCTGTTGTACAAGTGTGAGAACCACTTAATAAATCATTAGAAAAAAATCCACACCACTGAAACTTTACTTCCATCATAAAATTAGCTGCTTAAAGTAATGCACAACTACATCATCATCATGTGCTGCACCAATAGGCACAGGCAGGCATATTTTAACATCATCATTTCACATGATCACCATTCATGGATCAGGTCAGTGTTTTTTATCTTGCCCCATCCCTATGGCCAAGTCATCCAGATATTTATCTCTGAGCCGTCTCTCACTATTTTTTCTGTCTGCATGAATCAGTCGGCATGAGGTGGGTGATATGGTCAACATCTTGCCAGCTGCTTTTACTTCCCAGGACACTGCCTGATAACCATTTTGGACTGGGTCGACCTGGGAACCAAGGTCCTTTCTATAGTCATCTGTTAATCCTAGGGTGAGTTCAAGACTGATTTGTAAGGCCCATCTGAGCCCAAAACTGCCTGCATGATAAAGTTATAGAGGAGCCGAAAAAAAAAACAACAACTGACCACTCTCTAATCTTATCCTTTTTGAAGGCATCTTGCCTTACCTTCTTCTTCCTCTTAGCGTTCAATGGCTATTAATATCAGTGGAAAGGTCTGGTTGTTTGTCCACTCCTGCACACTGATCTTTATAAGTTAAACAAAATTTGCATGAACATTAAAATTACAGATATGAATTATTTGTGTGCAGACAGTTGGTTCCTTGCCTTTCAAGCACATGCACTCCTACTGAGAAGGAAACAGCCCTAATTAGTTACCTCCTATGACATGCTTGCTGGGGTGGGGGGATATTCTATGCAGGTAGTGCCTTACCTCTAGAACCAGCAGTAAGTTAGTGATGTCCAGAGACATAGTGCCTTACCTCTAGAACCAGCAGTAAGTTAGTGATGTCCAGAGACATAGGCAAGGCTTCCGGCAACTTCTCATCTTCAGCAAAGTCTGACAGACAAGTCACACCAGACATTTTAAACTGCAGGCTGAAGTCACTGGCACGGACGGTCACATGAGCCAGGCCAGAGATAAGGTCCAGGCTGGGGTCGGGTACTTTGATCTCGTACTTGGCACGGATGGGGTATCTAGAAGGTGGGGTGTCTGACACTTCTTCCTGCAGGTATCCTGAAAGCACAGATGCATACAAAAATGATAATGACGATGATGATGATTGATGATTGTTCTAAGCTAGTTTGGCGGAATGTATTCTCGCCTGGAGATCCCCTATAATCCTTCCTAAATATTTTACAGGGCTCGAATGAAGAAAGTCTAGGGGAATTCTATTGGTCCCTGAGTACACAAAGAAAGGAAAGAAAATACAGATAATCAAACCAATAGGGTGAATCCGCGGAATAGGACTGAATGCATAATAATTCTTCTAGCTAACTTCAGAATAAACAAAGTTCAACACCTTGCAAATTGAACTCAGATAAATCACAACGTACAATAATACTCTGTCTACACAAGGAATTAAATTCGATACTAACTGATATAATCCGATATTTGAGTTTTCTAAATCAACAATTGTATTGACATAACACGGTCCAGGAATCCCAACAAATTAATCAACTTAAAACGAAGAGAAAAACAAATCAGGGTCTCATCATATACCACATTAAAACTTCAAATACATCAAACGTCACTCAGCTCTAAGATAGTTTGAGGAAAATATAGCTTTCTCCTGATGTATGGACAATGTACTGGCGGCAACAATTGTAGTGATTGGTTATCTGCAACAGTCGTCAATTAATTTCGGATTTCCCTTCTACCATGTTGTTCACCATCCATAGGGTTACAGGGAACCTGAATTCGTATTTTATTTCTTTTTGGCTAGGCTGATATAAAGGCTGTGGGTTAGTCTCCTAGTAGTAACTAAGAAAACGTCATAAGTTATGTGCGCCTTCGTACATTTTCTACTCTTCCCACATCTATATTCATATATTTTTATTTTAAGTGCGCAATTCTTTTAACCAAAAGATGCAATTAACTCTTGCCGGACTGAAATATTCCGTTTGTTTGTCACAATGATAACAATAATAATAGCCATACATTATATGATGCTGTAAAGATATGACCTTCAATCCAAACTTCTATTTCTTCTTCTTCACTTCCTCTTTTACTGCTGTGGGTGTCGAGGGAGATATAAGGTTCTGTTTCTAGCTCTTCTGGCCGCCTCGACCATAGGCACATCGTGCTGTTGTAGAGTTTCTCTGATTTTATCCTTCCATCTTGTTCTTGGTCTACCTCGTGCTCTACGTCCTTCTTCTGTTTCCATGTATGCTTTGTATGGTATGGTGTCACAAGGCATTCTCTCTAAGTGGGCAAACCATTTCACTTGCTGTCTTTGTATGTAATTTAGAATTGGTTCTGTGCCGACTTTTTCTCTTATGATCTACTTGATTAAAACAATGATGATGATGATGCTGGTTATGTTGATGATGGTAGTAGTTGTGGTGATGATGATGGTTAGGATGATGATGATGATGGTGATGATGATTAAGGTGGTCCTGATGATGGTTATGTTGATGGTGATAATCATGATGATGTTGGTGTTGGTGGTGATGATGATGGTTAGATTGATGATGATGATGCTGTTACTGCTTTTAGATTGTTGGTCATACTGTATCTGCAAATTCACTTCCAGCATTCCATGTATGGGTTCTGAGGCCCCATTTTGGAAGAAAAAACTGACGCCAAGGGAAGTTACCCTGGAAAACAGCTGCCCGAAGAAATCTCATGTGTCAGCCAAGAGGCGCAAATACTGTAGCTATGCTGTAAACAGGCACTATGCATTTAAACCACTTGGAGGAATGATGGAAGAAAAGAACAGACCTGCCCTGGACCCTGTTATAAGTGTACAACTGTATCTGTTGCATTGTTTTGAAAGACCCATGTGTAATGAGTGGGAAATCCCATGAGCCGCATTCAGTCCGCGCACTCATGTACTTTTGGATATCAGTGGTAAAGTAAAGTAAAAGTAAAGTAAAGGACCCTTTTCCACTCCTTTGGGCGTATAGGGAATATAGGGCTAGACCTATATTTTATAGACCAATCGGCACAAGATGGGTGATGTGGTCAGCATCCCACCGGCGGCCTTTACTTCCCGGTAAAGCGCCCGGTACCCATTCAAGGCTGGACGACCTGGGAGCCAAGGTAATTTTTGAAAAAAGTCCGGCTACACCAGGGAGCGAACCCACGACCTTCCGATCCGCGGCGAGTGTCTAACCACAGCAACTCCAGGATATCAGTGGAGTGGGAGAGAAAAGTGCTGGACCAAAAGATTAAGATATTTCAGCCCAGCTGTACACCACAAAACACATCATGCCAACAGCCCAACAAAGGGCAAAGGCAGAAAAAGAAGATGTTGTTGCCAGAATCTTCTTCTTTTGTTCGCTTGAAATAAATCATCTATAGATGCAATGTCTCCAGTATAAACTTCACTGTCTTTTGTAATTCACTTAGCGGCCTGTAAAGTTTGGCATTCACCAGTGTCTCTCTTGGTCAGAAATTTTGCCTGGAAATGTTATGCTTGGGACAGTCTTGGAGGATGTGATCTCTTGTCCCATGTAACAGTTCACATGTGCACACGGCTGATTTGTCAATTTTAAATTTATGTAGACGTGGCTGTGAAGTTGACTGTGTCCTATTCTAGGGCGTAGAATAATGACCCTGCCAGAAGGAGGCTAATGTTCTCTTCAGGGCACTGGCACGGACCTGTAACTTCTGTCAGAGCCCTGCACTCACCACCCACATCTAGCAACCCAGGTATCCGTGAGCCGGCATGTTTCTAAAGGATGTGTCTGAGGTATTCTAAAGGATGTGTCTGAGGTATTCTAAAGGATGTGTCTGAGGTATTCTAAAGGTTGTGTCTGAGGTATTCTAAAGCATGTGTCTGAGGTATTCTAAAGGTTGTGTCTGAGGTATTCTAAAGGTTGTGTCTGAGGTATTCTAAAGGTTGTGTCTGAGGTATTCTAAAGGTTGTGTCTGAGGTATTCTAAAGGTTGTGTCTGAGGTATTCTAAAGGTTGTGTCTGAGGTATTCTAAAGGATATGTCTGAGGTATTCTAAAGGTTGTGTCTGAGGTATTCTAAAGGTTGTGTCTGAAGTATACTAAAGGATGTGCCTGAGGTATTCTAAAGGATGTGCCTGAGGTATTCTAAAGGATGTGTCTGAGGTATTCTAAAGGATATGTCTGAGGTATTCTAAAGGTTGTGTCTGAGGTATTCTAAAGGTTGTGTCTGAAGTATACTAAAGGATGTGCCTGAGGTATTCTAAAGGATGTGTCTGAGGTATTCTAAAGGATGTGCCTGAGGTATTCTAAAGGATGTGTCTGAGGTATTCTAAAGGATGTGTCTGAGGTATTCTAAAGGATATGTCTGAGGTATTCTAAAGGTTGTGTCTGAAGTATACTAAAGGATGTGCCTGAGGTATTCTAAAGGATGTGTCTGAGGTATTCTAAAGGATGTGTCTGAGGTATTCTAAAGGATGTGTCTGAGGTATTCTAAAGGATGTGTCTGAGGTATTCTAAAGGATGTGTCTGAGGTATTCTAAAGGATGTGTCTGAGGTATTCTAAAGGATGTGTCTGAGGTATTCTAAAGGATGTGTCTGAGGTATTCTAAAGGATGTGTCTGAGGTATTCTAAAGGATGTGCCTGAGGTATTCTAAAGGATGTGTCTGAGGTATTCTAAAGGATGTGTCTGAGGTATTCTAAAGGATGTGTCTGAGGTATTCTAAAGGATGTGTCTGAGGTTATGAACTGGATTTCATGTACTATTATTCTAGTGGGGTAGGTACCCAAGCAGTCTGGATCCCCCAATATTGAATCTTTCTGATGCTGCTGGTTGTTCTGATTAACTACCATTGACCTCTCTCTTTAGTTTAGTTCAACTAAAGCTCCCTACTGTATCTGAAAAATGGCAATAAATTGTGCAATGCACTGTTGTGTCCTCATTAGATAGTTGGGAAAAAAAAAATAAAATTAAAATACCCACTTCTAAATATTACCATTCCACATGTCTACAAAAAGTCTGAGGATACAGTGCTATCTAATTGTGTCTACAATAATGAAATACATGGGGTGATTGCTAAATAAAACATAAAAAGTGATATAAAGCTCAGATGAGGGAATGGAAAAGACATATAATAGATAGTGATGATGTAAATTGGGGGTGGCTGCAGTTGAACTAATAAATTGAAGTGCTAAATATAACATGAAATGTTATAGAAAATTCAACAGAGGGAGCGGAAAAGACAGACAAAATATAGTGATGACATAAACGGGAGGTGATTCCAGCCAAGCTAACGACAAGGTTCACATCTGTTCCATTCCCTCTGTGGGGCTTTCTAGTCCCATTTTATGTTATAGTTAGCACTATCTACAATGACATAAATGCCAGCATGCAATGCACCTACTGAGACACGTGTCTTGGATGAGACAGTACACATGAGCTCTTCTCTAGTCACAGCAATGTACTTAGGCTCTTCTCTAGCCACAGTCATGTACTAAGGCTCTTCTTTAGCCACAGTCATGTACTAAGCTCTTCTCTAGCCCAGTCATGTACTAAGCCTTTCTCTAGCCACAGTCATGTACTAAAGCTTTTCTCAAACAGCCACTTGTCTAAGCCTCTCTAGCCACAGTCATGTACTAAAGCTTTTCTCTAGCCACAGTCATGTACTAAGGCTTTTCTCTAGCCACAGTCATGTACTAAGGCTCTTCTTTAGCCACAGTCATGTACTAAGGCTTTTCTCTAGCCACAGTCATGTACTAAGGCTCTTCTCTAGCCACAGTCATGTACTAAGCCTCTTCTCTAGCCACAGTCATGTACTAAAGCTCTTCTCTAGCCACAGTCATGTACTAAGGCTTTTCTCTAGCCACAGTCATGTACTAAGCCTCTTCTCTAGCCACAGTCATGTACTAAGGCTCTTCTCTAGCCACAGTCATGTATTAAGGCTCTTCTCTAGCCACAGTCATGT